TAATTGTACAAAATGTCATAGTCCATTAATAACACCAAAATTCAGAAAAGTATGCCTTATTCAGACCTCAGCATTTTCAACATAAGGAAGATACACAATGGTGGTGGGAGTGATGGTGGTGGTGGTACTGTGTGTGTGTGTGTGTGTGTGCGTGTGTGTGTGTGCGTGTATATTAATTGACATTTCTCAGGCAACTTCTATAGATTCCTAAAATCAAGACTTGTTTATATGTGTGGGCCTACAGGTGTGTGTGTGTGTGTGTGTGTGTGTGTGTGCAAAGGTGTACACACTCAGTTGAGTCCATTAGAGGGGGTGCTTCTTAAGTTAGTCATTCAAGGACAACTGACTGCATGCACAGTACCTATCAGGTACTCCTCTGAGTAGCTGAGGACATTCCAATAAACAAAACAGTACTCTTGCCCTCAGAAAGTGTTATAAGTACATTGTCTCAGCCACAAGATTTGTCTAACCAAATTTCAACTGTCAAATTTACATGTCTCCCGAGAAGTCATTTTGAAGAAAACAAAGATGTGGCAGATTCTTAATTCCCTTAGAGAGTCTCCTTAGACACCATTTACAAATCATTCTTTTTTTGTACCTATAATATAAAATAATTAATTGACGATCTCACCAAAGTTTACATGGACACAGAATGCATTTTATAGAAATCACTGAGTATATTTCCCAATCTTTGCTGAGGCAATGACATTGACTGCGCTTCCAAATATATGGTAAAACTGTAGGACCTTGCAAAAAAAAAAAAAATAGTTGTAAGGACTTATGTCCTACTTCAAACTTAATCCTGTCTATATATTTTGCCTTTTTAATCTATGTCCGTGAAAATGTGAATTAACAGTTACCTCTCAACAAAGACTATCTGTTTTTATTCAAACATGCATTTCATAACTAAAATCAGAGATGATCAATTTAAGTATGCATTTATTGAATGCTTGCTGTGCATGACATATGGTTTCTKATTTCATTCTCACACCAGCCAGTTCTAAGAAGTTCTATTTTACAGATAAGCAAACAGGCTCAGGGAGGCTAAATGGTGCATGTAACGTGTGGCCCAGTGAAAAAGCTCAGTATTTGAATTCACTTTGGTTGCTAGCATCCAAGTTTCACCTAATTTCTTTGTCATCTTTAAAAAGCACATTAAAAAAAATAAATAAAATGTATCAAATGCTTAGGATTTGCATACACAATTTTCATCTCTCCTTAAGAGAAAATGATCAACTTTGGAATACTTTTACAAAATTGACACCAATTTTAAATTATTTTCAAAAATATCATTAAAACGCAACAGACAACTTCCCAGTCCAACTCTGCTATTTCACAGATATGACATCAAAGATAACAATAATTACAATACTAGAAGTCCTTTTTTCCCTGAAGGGAGAAGAATTCCTTAGAGGCAGGTTGAGGAGATGGACAGAGCCCAAGGCTACTACTGTAGAGAGTGAAATCTTGAACAATGACCATGATTGGCTCCCTCAGAAAAACCACTGGCAAGTTGGTTTTGGAAGATTTGCACATGTAAGCAATAAGACATGTACATATACATTAAATCATCTTGATCCCATGCATTCTATTGAGGCTTTAGCCTATCACAAAGTAAAGACAGTTTTTTTAGGTAATATAGGATTCATCATGGATAGCCTTCTAGTGAATCCAAATCATGAACTTTGGGGTCTTAGTAGTGGTAATGGAATTTTAAACCTTTAACTTAAATTATATAATTGCACAGACTTTGTCTTTATTTTGTGCATTTCAGGTCCCCACTATGTCCTATATAGCCAAAAGGATACATTTAATACACAAGAGCCATGCTATGCAACTTGAAGAAGAAAACTATACAAACATGATTTTTATTTTCTCCTAAATTCTCTTCTATGTTTTGCTAATGGTTTTTCTATACTTTTTAGCATAAATTCATTATTCACAATTTCTGGTCTGGAACAACATTTTATATCTAAAATGATATACTTCCGAAGATCTGTCCTGTTAAGACCTAAGACAAGGAACCTGACTACTAATGTAAGGTCACTTGCCACAATCTCAGGAAGCAAATACAAATTAATTAATCCAAGAATAACCATACAAATAGCCATCCTTAGAGGGCCTATTATGCTTGGGTTTTGCATAACATTACTTTTAATTCACAAAACAATCCAACAAATTAGATATTATCATTCCCATTCCACAAATGAGAAAATTGAGGGCCAGAGAGATTCCAAGTATTGCCCAAAGGACACAACAATTAAATTGCTGGAGGAACACATCTGCAATGTTAAAAGCAAATCTTGTAATACCTAGCCGATGTGGGCCTGTGCTTCTACCTATTCAAAAATGCTCCTCAGTGGGCACCAGCCTCTGCCTTGATATAAACGGGGCAGGTAAATCTCCAGTTCTACCATAGCCACAGTTCTTTCAATAGCCCATGAATAACTTGCTCTCAACACAGGACCAGCTCTGGCTGCCAAGTCAAAGGATCTTCAACCCAAGCTGAGTCTGCGTTCCTAACTGTAATGCTGGTGAAATGATTCACCACATGAAAAACATCCTTAGATGCCCTATTTGTGGAGGAGGGTGGGAGGACACATCTCAGCTCACAGTTTTAAACAGATTCTCTTTCCCTGTCTTCCCTTCCCTCTCTCCTTCTCTCTCAGGAATGCTGCATGTGTGTGTGTGTGGAAGGTTCAGTGACAGGTGCAATGTCAATAAAAAAAAAAAGAAAGAAAGAAAAAAAAGTCTAACTGGAATAAGCACTGAGGAAATGTTGATGTTAAGAAAAAAATTAAAAACAAAAACTCCACCAATGGGCAGACCCATCCTAATCCTAATTACAAGGCCAGTATCCCATATGATGCTTAGAGTCGAACTACAAAGTAGAAAGCATCAGAGTACTTTTTGTTCCCCCTTCTTACTTTTAAGTCTGTTGTGCTAAGTTGTAGCTGATCAGGACCTTAACATAACTTGAGTCCTTCCATGACCACGAATTGTGAACTGACAGTGGTCATATACAACTAAGCAAGCAAGCAAACAAACGAAATAATGCCGAGAATTATGGCAAAAATATGCAGAAGACTTTAGGGAAGGGCTCAAGAAATAAACAAGAGTCCTGCAGGAGTGTTTTCATAGGTTGGGAAAGGGATTACCTGATCTGGGTCCCAACTGGAAACAGGTGCCCCAGAAAAATAAATTAGAGAAGCGCTCAGCTGTTGGCTACTTTAGTTAAGGAGTAATAAAAAAGATAAGAATAGGTGCCGTTGAGCAAAAGAACAGACACAGAGGCTTATAGTGGGGGGTATTTCTGGTGTCTGTTACTGCCTCCCTAATATAAATCTAACTCCACAGTTTGTTTTTTTTTTTTTTTCAACAATTCTACTTGGTCCATCACTCAACAGGACTGAATGTGCCCAACACTGAAAAGGAGTCCAAGGGACAGCTGCAGTTCATCTCCTTTGGGATATGCCAGAGTTGTGGCTCTTATTTTAAAAAATAAATAAATAAATAGTATCAAAGCTAGACTTCTGTGAATTATGAAAGAGAGAAAGAAAGAAACAAGGAAAAGAAAAAAAGAATGAGGACAGAGAGGAGGGAAGAAGGGCAGGTAGGCTGGAGTTTACAATCCTTGAGATCTACACTGGTAGAAGTTTATTTCATTCTCTTGGGACTAGTGTACCCTCCCCTGACCCCTCCTAATAAAAATGGCAGCGGTGGTAACAGAACTAGCCATGCTGTGTGTGCCTGACTCCTTTCCAGTTTGGGTCTGAAACTTGTCTGCTGTTCTGAGGCTGTTGGTGAGTCACCTGTCTCATACTGTTTGGCCATTAACCAAAGAGTTACAGTTTCTCTAGGCCTCAGTTTCTGCTTTTATTGGCATGACATCTCTGAGGACTCTTCTGGCACTAGTTATATGAGTCCATGATTCTGATAGAAGGCCCCAGAGAGGAACAGAGAAACAGAGAAGCGTAAAGCAGAGTTTTGTCCTACAGTTCAGCTCCAGGACTCTGGCAGCTGTTGAGGAGGGAGGAGGTAATCCTGCAAGCCCTCAGGCTCTCTAAGCATTTTCAACCTCTCTTTCATCTTTATTTATTGACCCCACCCCCCTACCCCCAACAAAGCTGGCATATGACAAATATTGGTGTTCAACACAACAAATCTTTCCTTTGGTTTATAATTCTAAGTTACCACAGGACATTAGATTCTGCTTATTTCTCAAGAGCTCTGTCCTAGTGATGGCTGGGAAGATTTCTGGCAAAACCCAAGCCAACTGCCCAAGTCCTCTACAATTATGTGCAACCTATAAGCCAAGGAAGCCATCAGTGAGAAGGGGGTTCTGTTGAAGAGAAGTGGGTCCTCCTTGATTCATTCTTAGCCCTGGTGAGAACCCTGTAAGGTGAAGACCATATTTAGAAGTGTGTGTGCAAGAGAGACTGTGCAGAGTGCAACCACCCCTTTCCACCAGTTTCCTCCCCCATGCCTACTCTCCAGCCTACAACTCACCCACCAGGCAGAAGCCATCCTTCACCTGCTTGGTTTATTATCATATTTTTTGTGTGAATACATTCTGTTGATCTGCAATGTCAGATTGGATAATGAAATTTAAATTGGGTCCCTTGGATTTCCAATATAGCTATATATTTGTGCTTCTAACTCTGGGGATCCCATGTAACTTAAATATATTCTGGAGTGTCAATCACACAGTACCAGCACCCCATACTGCAGCAGCTTTCTTGGGGATATTTTTTTCTTCTTACTGAACATTTGCAAAAGCGCTTCCCCAGGATGCAGACAACCTGCATCATTACAGCAAACCAGCTTATCGGTGAGCACACCCTGATGGACCAAATGCGAGGGCCACTCTGTCCCTTATTTTCTCTGCCCCAGTAGCCAGGTCTTTAAGAAACCACAGGAGAAGGGGATATAAGGAGAACAAGAACACCAAATTAATGAACATTGTTTTACAAATCAATAAGAAAATAAGGATCACTCACTGTATTTCAGACTCATCACAGCAACATCCAGATGGAAATCCAGGTGGTTAAGAGAAAACGCATGATCTTGATACCAAAATGAGAGGGAGGAAAAAAAAAAGGTTGATAAAAAAAATCCAACTGCAATTATCCGTCAATTTTAGTCAACATAGGCACAAATCCAACTGTGCTTTGCTGGTTTCTCTCCCCCAATCAATGCCTCATTCTGCCGCGGTCAACTTTTCTTCTCTGAAATTTCTTTGCAGATGTATTATTAATTTCCTCTCCTCTTGTGGGAAATTCAAAAAGAAAAAAAAACAAGAAGAAGAAGAAGATGATGATGAAGAAGAAGAACCACCATATCAGGTCTTTACTTTCCTAAAAAAGCCCCAAACTTTTCACTCCAAAAATATCTCCTTGGCGCACTTTCTCCTTTATAGAGAAAAATGAACATACTTTTCCTTCGTGGATCCGCGTTTTTTCATTTCCAATCATCCTTTTGGGGAGGGGGAGCGACTGTCTTATTATTATTTATTTGTCAGAAACACACCAATCCCCGCAGGTCTGCCACTGGCTTATTTCATTTTTCAACGCTCCCGGTGTACACATACACACATTTGGGTTAAGATCCAGGTCTCAGAAGAAAAAGCTTCGTTCTTCCTTCTCTCTGGCACGATCAGTTTATCCACTGCGTTCGGCTCCCAGAGAGAGCTGCGTCCCGCATTCTTCATTTTTGCAAGGCACCCAGCAGCCACCGCCACCAAAAAAAGTCACCTCTTACATAGTCGATTCCTTTTTCTACACCCCCCTTTCCAAGAATTTGGGGATCAACTCCCCCCACTCGCTACCCTTCCGGCCGGCCCCTTTGCCAAAGATCTGATTAGATTTCGCATCACAACCCAGTGCGCAATTGGATTTTTGATTTCAGCCACCCGGCCAGCCACCTTCCCCTTTCCCCTCGAAACTCCCGGTTATATCCTGTCTCCTTCCCTCCACCGCCTCTGCAATTTCATAATCTCACGTTAAATGGAGTGCGGGGGGCGGGGGCGGGGGCGGGGGCGGAGGTAGTGGAGGAAAATTTCAAGGCTCCGTCAGCTGTCAAGAAATCCATTCCCCCCGCCCGCTACTTTTTTTTTTTTTTTTTTTTTAAGGCTCGGGGTGGCTTTCACTCTGTCCCCGCCCCCACCCCAGCACCCGGTCCAGATCTTCCAGGTGTGGCAGAACTCCGCGATCAGGGCCAGGATCACGGGGGAGACGCGTGATGCGGTCCCTCGCCGGTGGCCCCTGCCAGCACCCAGGTCCCCTTCTCCTCCATCAGCGGACAGCAGATCCAGGGGCGCCAGCGATGGAAGTTCGGACTGGGCTTTTATTTCAAATGGGGAAGGTGGTGGTGGGACCGGCGCGGTGTGGAACAAAATTTTAAAAGAAAAAAAAAAAAAAGGAAAGGAAAAAAGAGAAAGAAAAAAGAAAAAGAAAAAGAAGAAACAGGAACGAAGGTTTTAAAAAGAAAAAAAAAATTCCCTAATCGCTGGCTCCTCTCATCCTTCTCGAATGAAACTGCAGCTTTGATCTCATTTCCAGCTGCGTTGGGTACATTTTGGAGCCACAAGTTGGTTCCTCTTGGCGCAGACCTTTCCGACGCCGGCAGGTCCTCCGCGGGGAGACGCGTAGTCAGGCGCACAGCCGCTCCGCGCCGACCTTAGCGCCATCGCCCTGGTTGGCGGCTCCCTACTCCGCAGAAACCCCGGTCCCCTTCCATCCACTTCGGCCGGAACCCTCTTCTTACCCCTTGCTCTCCTCCCTCCCCTCCTTTTTCCTCCAAATAAATAAATGCGCTTCCTGCGCCGGCTGCAGCTGCTGCCAGTCTAGGCTTTCTCTCGACCAATTCTATGTCCTATCATTTAGGGTCCTTGCTCCCCAAAGACTCCCTTTCGGACTGCAGTCCCCTTCCCTTCTCTTCCCCTCTTTCTTTCCCCTTTCCCTTTCCCTTTCTCTGCTAGTGATCAGTAAAATACAATTACCCAATTACCTCCCATCATCTTAGCAGTGATTGGTCAATTGCATTAACACTTGAAGTCAGGGAAGAGGAGGTTGGAGCCTCTGAGGTGTGGCACTGCTGCCACCTGGAGGGCAGAACCGGAACAGCGGCATTTCAAAGCATTCCCCCCCCCYCCCACCTCCACCATCACACACACTCCCCATGTTAGGAGGTTAGTATTAGGCAAAGAAATTCAGGCTGTAAGGGAGAAGTTGTCAGGTTTTTTTTTTTTTGTTTTTTTGTTTTTTCAAAAAGCCTGCTTGTTTTCATCCGGAAAGCTAGGAGTTTTGAACTACAATGAGGAAGATATTGAAATCAAGTCACCATTAGGATTCAAATGATCACCAAACACAAAAGCTGTTACTTTCAGATTGCAAGGTGAGAGCCTCTTCGAAATGAAGCAGGCTGGTCCCAAGGCAGGGATTAACATAGTACTATTCTTTAGAACTGGCTCCTCAGAAAGAATCAGAAGTAGCTCAAATGCTACTGGGGAGGGAGCCTGTGGTCGGGCAGAATAATCTCACCAGAAGGAAGCAACTGTAAAGGCCAGATAGGAGCCTTCAGCCTATGCAGTGTTGCAATAAATTGGCCTGTTCAGTTTGTACAAGACATCCACGACAGCTTGACAACTCAATTCCACATCCCTTGCTCCTAGATGTGGGCTTTCCCATCACCTAGAGTTAGGGAGGCAGTTGGCACATTTCAACTTCACTGGTCTCTTAAGAAGAAGGGACGTGGCCCACAAAACAAGGATATTCACACTATGTTTATATTTGCTTTCTCTTTTCACTATGTAATACTCATAAGGTCCTTTCTATGAACTATGGTTGTTCCTTTTATGTCATTCAAATAGGAGACCTTGAGATTAGAAATGCATAAAACTAGGAATGATAATTCAAACGACAACAAAAAATTAAATCTGTGGCAAAGGAGGGGTTGATAAATATTTCGGTTTCATGTTTTGTATGTAATGATCTTTGTGCTGATTTTCTTTGTTTTTGAGAGATCAGAATATGTACTTAGTTTAAAAACACTTTAAAACAAAGAGAGCAAACCATTATGAGAAGTAGCATCAGTCAGAAAAGCCTTTTTACTAAAGGAACATCAGAGGCATATCCAAGTTCACACCAGATGTTCTTTCTACTTTTTTCCTGTTTCCTTTATAGTACAATATATAATCCCATGCTCAGACTTAAAAAAATTTTCATCTATAAGTTTCTTAGGGGGCTAAAAATTTTCTGTGATATGGACCTTAGATGTAATAACTTGCAAACAAAAGACCTTTCCTCACACATGGATTGTAATTCATTAAAATCCCTCCACCTGTTTGAAGGTTTTCATGTAATTATTAATCATGTCAAAATGCATATCTGTTGAGGGGGATAGGGTTTGCTTCTATTTTTAATAAATGCTGCACTGATTGAAAACATKAATAGGCAGCTGAGTACAACTTCAATTTGTGGGTTTTATTAAATATTTTTGCTCTGAAGGGCAATTTTTTAAGAATTTTAATTTTATGTGGTGCTGATGATCGAACCCTGTGCCTCCCACATGCAAGGTGACTACTCTACCATTAAGATACAACTCCATGCCTAATTTGTGTTTTTTCATTGCAGCTTATCAACAACTAAACCATTGAAAAGCATATTCACTATCTTCTCTAGATGGCTTCAGAGGAGTCTACACTCTGGTTCAGAACTATGCTGGAAAACATGAGAAATAAAAATGTATATATTTTAGGGGTTTTGACTGCAAGGGAAAGGCCAGTGATTTGTTTATTCAAAGCTGGTTAATAGCTATATACCAGACATCTTTAACACCTCTTAGAATGAATTAATCTATTGAACAAAAACAGCAGGGAAGTATCAGTGTTAGTTAATCAAAAAAGGAAAAGCAAGGAGTCCTCATTCCTGTTAGCTATCACACCAGCAGCAGCTGCAGTACCTTTTCCCACATCTGCTATTTATTTGCACTATAAGAACTTGACTTAGTTATTTGACTTTCATTTTTAGATTTAGCTTCTACTGGTAATTATATGCACAATATGTTGCTAGATTTCTCACATTAAGCCCACTGTTAAGGATTGGGGCAGGGCATCCCACCCTCAATGGAAGGTCCCTGMAAAGTTATATAACATAAGAGAGCAAAGAACCAGGGTGGTCATCACAATCAATCACACCCTCTATCTCTGACATCACCTTCTTTAATACTCAAAGCCACCTCCTGAGAGGTTTTGAGGGTGTGGAAAGTGAGATGCAAAGTCACATACTCAGTAAATGACAGCCAAGCTTTGAACCCAGAGCTATGCAATTTCAAATTTTCTAGTTTTGCTTTGACTTCTAGGTTGTGGGTAACATGGGGAATGACTCTAAGATAGCCAGAATCACACAGTCATCAGCACTGATTCCTAGAGATGAACTTGTAACCCTGTGGGGAAATGGCATTGTCATATTTGTCACTGAATGACCTTACTCAAAAAAAAAAAATTGAAATAAATAGTGAATAAGCTAAATGTCATAAAAATACATGAGCAAATTTAATTACTGTTAAGAACAATGTAAATATAGATAGTTATACAGTAGAGGTTGCTAGGTACTGTCAATAATGACAGGGTCTGTGTTCAGGTAAAATTCATCATAAAAGCTCTGTTAGAAGAAATAATTGTCTAATCAGTAATTGGTCACATCTTCATACTCTCAATTAGTCTGTCTAGTTATCAGGGAAAGGGCAAAATGCCATTGGAATGAGATGAGTTGGAAAAGGAGAGGCAGGAGTCAGCATGACATGGACATATAGAGCTCCACCCTGATTCTCTGATTTCCAGACATTTGAGTAGTGAAACACAATTACCAAATTATTTTACTGTGTGTTGGTGACTCTAACTGGTGTAATCTTTAGCAAACAGCAGGGGACAGTATCTTGTAATCAGAAATACAAAATAGGAAATAGGATGAATTCAGTAACTTTGCTTAAAAATTAAAAAATATAGAAGTGTGTATTGTGTTTATTAATTGGATTTAATAGTCTGTAGGCTACTCTGTTGAAGAATA